ATATCTTCAAATTGATCATCTCGACATCATGAAGCATGACACGAGAAAAAAATAGATTTCAAGTTTTGAAAATAGTGTATTTTGTAACGCATTTTTGGACCGTCACTTTTCAAGATTTTCAAGTTTTCATAAATCTGTCAATCTACACTATTTTTGAAGCTTTAAACTTTAAAAATAAATATAAAAATATATTTTAAGGCTATCACAAAAATTTCCAATATTGAAATCACATTTCTCGACACTAGTTGAAGGTAGGCTCTAATTTGATTGTTTAGAGCCTAGGTTCTATACAAACCGCACCCTTTAATTAATTGTCATTAGTTACTTTCCTATTTTCTATTTTCACATACATCAGAAGTCAAATGGAAAAATAAAAAGAAAAAAAGCTGGCTGAAGAATGTCTATTTGGTTTTTTTTTGAGAATTGTTAACATTGTATTACTATGACAGTAATAGTTACAAAATTGTGATGAAACTGAAGACACCCTCTAATTATGGGTGTCTAACAGTAAAATACATCAGTCATTCATGTACAAAAAGGCTTATAAGATCCGCCCATGTATCAAGATTTACAATGAGTTTACAAAAAAAGACAGACAAAAAGACATAGGAGCTGTTGGTTGCTCGAGTGGGGGCAGGCTATGTAGTGCGGCTGTGGTCCTGAACAAAAAAGGAGTGGGACCTGGCCTGGTTTTCCATGTGAAAGCTAGCTCCCTCCTTCGCCATGAGATCTGCGAGTTCGTTGGACGTCCTCCATGTATGCTTCCATAAGATGTTCATATCCCTACATATGTAAGTAATTTCATCAAAAATTGTTGTCAATTGCCGGGGGGGAGATCATGCCACTTGCCCAAGAAATAGTGTTTTGAGAGTCTCCTTCCACAATCAGATGTGTGCCCCAAGATGGGTTGAATTTTTTAATACCCAATAGTAAAGCCATGGCTTGTACGTATTGGGAGTCATTTATTCCGAGGTACACGGAGTAGGTGAGGAGGACATTTTGTTGGTAGTCTCTAAAGACGCCCCTGGCGCCTGTTGGGCCTGGGTTTCCAAGTGAGCAACCATCGAAATTTAGCTTGATGCTGCCCTCTGGTGGTGGTTGCTAATTGCTAGCTCTTGAGATTGTTAGTGGCCTATGGTGGAGGACATTTTGAAAGGAAGATGTTCCTTGATAATCCAGAGAAAATTTAGTGGTTGGCGGCCTAAAAAGAGGTCAGCGAGGTAACCTTATGGAAGAGAGCTGGTGGGTGGAGTCAAAGTCCATTGAAAATTCTGTTATTCCTTTCTATCCATATTGTCCATATGGTAGCAGCCACCGTGGCCTTCCATAAGGTTTTACCGACCAAAGGCCACTGAGCTCCAGATTGTAAGATAGAAGGGCCCTGACTGTGGGTGGTGTGACCCATTGGATGCCAAAGAGTTGTAGCACAAGACTCCACAGCTTATGGGTAAATTCGCAATGTATAAAGAGGTGTGGGTTGGTTTCCTTCTCACAAAGACGCAGAGAGCATCTATTGGGGATTGCAATTCCTCTTTTTTGTAATTGGTCCAACGTGGGTGCTCTTTGGGAATAGGCTATCCAATTGAAAAACTGAATCTTAGGTGGGGCAATGGTTGACCAAACTTTTGACAAGATTGAGGTGGGGTTGAGAGGAAAGGTGGGGGGTAGGGTGAGGCTTTTATAGAAGGAAGGTACTGTGAAGAGGCATGAAGGGTGAGGCTCCAAACTATAGTATCATTCCCATTTGTTGGGAAGAAACGCTAGGAGAGAGCCGTCGAAAGTAGTTGGAATTTGTAGGTTTCCTTGTCTGAGAGGTTTCTTCGGAAAGAAGGATTCCAGACTCTCCGTCGGCCTGAAAGTGGCACTTCCTCGGCGATAGTGGAGTTTATGTTGGATGCAAGTGAATAAAGGGTTGGGAAGGTCTGGCACAGTGGAGAGTTTCCAACCCATAAATCTGTCCAGAATTTTACTCTATGTCTTTATCTAGGATGGAATCTTATGTGTCTTCTGAACTGTGACAAAGAGGAGGCTAAAGATTTCCAAGCCCCTGACGCTCTGTGTTTGTGGAGCCTCTCTGGTACCCATGTTCCGTATTGGATTTTGTATTTGCGACGTAGCACATGAGCCTAGAGAGACTCAGGTTGAGAAGCTAGGCGCCGCCACCATTTGCCTAGGAGGGCTGTGTTTTGTTTTCTTAGGGTCCGGATTCCTTAGCCCCCCTGCTTCTTCGGTAGGCAAATGTTTTCCCAAGCTACAAGATGGAATTTAGTCTTCTCTGCCTGCCTAGACCAAAGGAAATTCCGCATAAGTTGTTCTATGCGGTTGGCTACTTGTGCAGGCATCTGGTATAGGGACATGAAGTAGACCGGAGTATTTGCCGAGGTGGCTTTGATCAGGGTAACTCTTCCTGTTGGGGAAAGGTATCCACCTTTCCAACTAGCGAGGTGTCTCTCAACTTTATCTAAAACCGGGGACCAGAGCCTCTTTTTTGGTTTCCCCAGTCCCAAAGGAAGGCCCAGATATGTTAGTGGAAGGTCTTCCACTTTACATTCCCAATTTGGGATAAGGGCTCTCTTACCTCTGCATTTGTCATCGCTACTCCTATCATATTAGATTTCTCCATGTTTACTTTGAAGCCTGTTGCTTTCTAAAAACACAGGAGGAAAAGTTTAAGGTTATGGACTTCATTTGGTGTAGCGTCGAGGAAGACCAAGGTATCGTCTGCGTATTGCAGATGAGACACTGTTGGGCCCTGATTACTACTTTTGAAGCCGGAAAGAGGACCAGATTGATAGAGATGGGATAAGGAGCTCGATAAAACTTCCGCTGTGATGGCAAAAACGAAGGGGGAGAGGGGATCCCCTTGTCGGCGTCCCCTCGAGGCTGGGAAGTAGCCTTTCAGTGTCCCATTGATGATAATGGAAAAATGAGGATGAGAATAACATCCTCTCATCCAACTCCTCCATCGTTCCTTGAACCCCATTCGAACCATGGCCTCTTCCAAGATGGACCAGTCTACATGGTCATAGGCTTTCTCCCAGTCTATTTTGAAGATTAAGCTAGGTTTCTTAGCTAAGTGTCTTGTGTGAATACACTCATTAGCCACCAAAACTCCATCTAAGATCTATCTATCTTGGATGAAGGCTGATTGAGATGGAGAGATCACAAAGGGGAGGACCTTTTGAAGTCTAGAGTAGAGGACCTTAGCCAATATTTTGTTAGTCGAGTTCAAAAGGCTAATTGGGCGGAAATCCTTGATTTCCTCTGTGCCTTCAACTTTTGGAGCAAGGGCTACGAAGTGGCATTGATTGCTTTGTGGATGACTCCCCTTTGGAAGAATTCCTCAAAGAAATTCATGAAGTCGGGACGAAAGGTGCTCCAAAAAATTTTGAAGGGTGCAATCGGGAAACCGTTTGGACCGGGAGCTTTGTCTTTGGCTAGGGCATTAATTGCTTGTACAATTTCAACTTCAGAGAAGGGTTGCTCTATCCAAGTAGCTAGATCGCTAGTGAGGACCAAGAAATCAAGATCAGCCATTAAAGGTCGCGGGCCAGCCTGGGTAGTGTATAGAGTTTGAAAGAACTCTATAATAGCTTGCTCTATTAGTGCTGGTTGGGCCAGGTAGCTGTTATTGACTTTAAGCATTGCAATAGTATTTTCCCTTCTACGGTAGTTAGCTGTATTATGGAAAAAGGCTGTGTTTTGATCGCCCATTTTTAACCATTTTATCCTAGATCTCTAGAACCAACAAATCTCCTCTTTTTTAAGAGTGGACATGTAATCCAGTTTGGGCTGGGTTCTGAGGTTAATTTCGGAGGTGTCCAAAGGTCTGGATTCTTCAAGGCTGTCTAGTCCTTTGATGGTATCCACGAGGTAGGATTGATTTGAGAATAGTTTCCAGATATATCTTTGCTCCAAGTTTTGATAGAAGCTTTGAGAATCTGGATTTTAGACTGGAGTATATAGCCTGCTCTACCCCTAACCTGGGATGAGAAGGAATCCCACCAGGTTGGTATCATAGTAGTAAGAGTCGCCTCTTCTAGCCACACTAGTTTGAACCTGAAAGGTTTGGGCCTCTTCTCACTGTGTTGGTGTCCATGAAAATGGGACAATGGTCAGAGATAGGTTTGGGTAAGACCAAAGCATGGGACCCCGGGAATTGTTCCTCCCAATTTGTGGAGAACAGAAAGCGGTCAAGTTTTGAGAGGGAAGGATTTTGGGTATGATTTGACCAAGTGAAGCGATTGCCTTGAAGAGGAATATCAATGAGTTCATTCCTGCTAATGAAATCAGCGAAGTCCCTCATGTCCTGAGAGATGGGGGTAAGGGAGTTTCTCGCATAAGACCATCTGGTAACGTTGAAGTCTCCTCCCAAGCACCAAATAGGTTGTGGAAGAGCTTCAACGTAATCCAGTTCAGACCACAAACTGTGTCTGAGTGAGGTAGAGTTTGGCTCATAAATGGCCGTGAATTTCCAGGGAATACCATCAGGGACACTAGATAATAAAATGGTCACAGAGAAAACCCCTATGTGTGAAGAAATAAGAGAATGGTCCAAGGGATTCCAAATCACCCTGATACCTTCAGAAGCCCCATTTGCCGGTAGTGATACCCATTGGGTAGGTCTTTTGCCCCAAATTTGGTGGATGAGCTGAAGGGTAGGCTCTGGTTGTTTGGTTTCGATAAGGGCTAGGATAGTGGGCGAGTGTTTGAGAACTAAATCTTTGACAGCGTTCCTTTTGGGTTGCTGTCCCAGCCCCCTAACATTCCATGTGACTATCTTCATGGGTCTGGAGGGGAAGAAGAGAAAGAGGCCAGCCTAGATGACCTCCTGGGG